TTGTGCATGGGGAGTGCTACGGGAACGATAACAGATATAACGTACAACGAAATTCGAATTGCGCTTAAGGACTCTACGAACAATACACAGCTAACAGCAGGAGAACAACGCGTAAGGTAGAACGAATCAGCTATGTCTAACGACGGCAGCTAGCGGTAAACAGCGATCCTGTAAATCTAGACTAAACGCACGGTCTGGGCAGAATAAATGGCTTTGGGCAGCAGTAATAATATTGAATGTGGTTCTATGAATAATTACGGTATCAAATATATAAAAGATAGGCACTCACGACTAGATTGACACGACGTCGATGTAAACTAGCGCGTCAACGTCAGAATGGAAAATCAACAATTTTAAAGGGCAGTAATGCAATTAAACAGAAATCTTAGGTCTCGTATAGAGCGCAACCGTTTAGGATATGGTGTGGAGCAAAACTGGATAAAAGTTAAAGTTTGGATAATAAATGATTCTCAAATCTTTTACGCTCCCCCGGCACTTGATTTCTTTCCTTGAAATGTTTGCTATAGTTCGTCCTCCAGTTTTCCTTCTCGAAGACACAGCTGCCGAATATCTCTTCTCAGTATTCCTTTGCAGGTTCTCACGTAAACCTGGCGAACACATCCGTCTGCACTGGTGACAAATTCGTCCGGGATACCTTTGGGCCACAGACCCATTAAGATGCGTGTATCACAAACTAAAACTAATTCGCCCTTCCTTAGGTTCCTGCACTTATCAAACCATTTTGGTCGCCTCTGCAGTGTAGTTAGATAGCTGCATATCCATTTTTTCCAAAGTTTTCCGCTTAAGTGCTTAACCTGTCGCCAACGTCTACTCAGTCTCAGAGGTAGGTTTATTTTTGCATCCTTTGGTGGCTGGTTGGTACACATCGTTAGCAGTTCCTGGGTGGATATGGTGACAAACGGATCCGGTAAATCTGGGACAGGAGTCAGCGGTCGGTAGTTCAATATCCCTTCTACTTCGAAATGGATCATTAATAAAACGACATCAGTCACCGCCTGATTATTCAGTATACCACTTTACAACGCTCGAATAGACCTAATCAGCCGCTCCCACAAGCCCCCACGATGACTTGGACATGGTGTATTGAATATCCAGTCCCACTCCTCGTTGCTAGCTCGTTCGGTAAGCCTTTGCTGATTCAATCCGTTCCCTAGAGGTTTCAGTTCAGTCTCTGCTCCGTGAAAGTTTTGGCCTTTGTCACTTTACACCGTCGACGGCCAACCAGGCCGGGCAGCAAAACGGGTGAACGCACATAGGAAGGAGTCCTTATCCAGTGTTGGGGACATCTCAATCTGTACTGCTCTTGTTGTCAGGCCAGTGAACAGACAGCCGTACCTACGTTCACGTAAACGCCCACGCGCACCTATGATTGGTCCAAAGTAGTCGACACACGTGCTGAACGCCTGTTGGTAGATAGCATATTGATCCGGAATAACTGGTGCCATCAATTGTTGCATGGGCCGAGCATCGCGAATGCGACACGACGCGCAGCGGTTCGGTACCGTTTTGACGGCTCCGATTCCACCGATTATCCAGTACGTCCTTTGAAGTTCAGCCAAGGTATGTTGAACTCCTACGTAACCGTTCATTATGTGGTAGTGGAATATTGGCAAACGTGTCACGTAATGTTTACCGGGCATCAAGATCCGTTGTTTCACACTAATTGGAATTGGTATGTTAATCGACCACCGACTCTAATAGTTCCATCGTTTAGAAAAGGAGCTAATTTTCATAATCGGCTTGACTTCAGCGTCATGTGGCTCCTGGCCTTCGTTGCAGCTTCACTCTCTAGTATGGAAACTTCCTCCGGAAATACCTCTCGTTGTAGCAGTCGAATGAGGATGATGGTCGAATTCCAAATATCGGCTGCACTTATGCTGCCCGATACATCTCATATCGGCTCGTTGAGAAAATGCGAAATGCAATACATCCGATCATATTTCTGATCACTATGGTTATCCTTCTTTGTAAGGATATCAGGTTGGGGCCACTTTCGAAAATTTGTAACCAGCCGCATTTCACCTCACATGGCGTGGTTTTTGAGATTACAAACACCGTTATCATCACTGTAATCTCTTTCAATTGATCAATCAAAGAACTGTGTTTTCAAACGGTGAATGAGTGAACTGCAAACTACTAGACCGTAACTTATTACTTCATTTTACGCAACCATATATATCTACATAATAATCTAACCTCTCACTGTCCCATTGATTGATCAATGGAATTTCTTGGATTCAATTTCGCGTCGTAATCTATCTTATTTCCCTTCAATCATTTAGCCAATGTGGTCTGTATAACTAATGGAAGGAATGTGTTTTGTTATGCATTGGGGCTGGTAAGAAGTCTGATTTCAAGCGAGGAATTCTCAACTCACAGCGTGAGATTCGAACCGACAAGAAACACATGAGCAGTTCGTCCAGTGAATTCGACAAGGGCACAAATGGACAACAATTTTTGCCTTTATGGCAGTGGAATATTGTTGCACAAAATAAGCAAATATCTTTTACGTGAAATGGTCATGAAAAATGATGTCGGTAATTCCATGCGGCCTCACGGACACCAACACCGGTGATTCATTTCACTATCATCGGTCTTCATCAATCAAAACATGCTCAATATATTCAACATTTAAAATACGAACAAGAGCAATAAATCCGTAATTTCTCATTAAAGGAATTCATCAGCTGTGCTTCCTTCTGATGTTCATCTTTGATCTTTGCGTTGGAAGTCAACACTTTTGATGTGGAGCATTGCGATTGAGGAGAGGAATTGTAATGTTGAAATAAACTTCTCGGACACACCCTTCAGGGAAAGGCAGCACCAGAGTTTAGGGCGGTCGACTGAGTCGAAAGCCGCTTACAGGTCTAGAAAGATGGAAATTGTTGGTCTACGAAACGAGTGTCTGTGTTCTGGGATTTGACGAAGAGTAAAGATGTGGTCGATACAACCTCGACCAGGTCTAAAACTAGCCTGGTTCTTACGTGTGCACACTTCACGAGCGGCAGACAATCGATGTAGTATGATCCCGGCGAGAAGTTTAGAGGCCATGTTAATTAAACTAATTCCTCTGTGGTTTTCACAACAGGACCTGTCGCCCTTCTTGTTAATCGGTATTATCAGCGATTCACACCATTCAGTTGGAATCTGTTACTTTTCACACACTGGACCCAGGAGTTTTGTTAACTCCAAAACAAAGGCTAGACCTCCATCCTTAAAAACCGATGGGGACAACCCGTCGGGGCCGGAAGCCTTATACCTTTTGAGATAGCTTATTTCTCGGGTAACCTCTGTATCAAATGACGGACTGATGTCAACTGGCAGTATTTACACAGTTGAATCGGGTGTAGGGAGGTCTTGTGCTGATGAGAGCCAGCTGAACTGAGCCTAAATGTTCTGCCCATCGATTGAAGACGAACACATTACATGTGTTGCAATGTCAATTCAGTCTGTTCTCTTTGAGCCCCGACAAATTTGCAGACAACTAGTTTACAGTTCCACATGCGAGAATTATAGGAAATCCAATATGTACTGATGGCGAATGGCTACAGAGGTGCAATATGCCTGCTAGAAAATTTATTAACTTTCAGAAACACGCGACGTAAAAATAAATTTCCCGATGACGACGAGAATGTCCAGTGAGCTTGCTTTTCCATTGAGTTGGTTAAATCCGTTTGGTATTGTAGAAAAGCATGCGGTAATCCGGTGAGTAATGCCTCATAACGAGTGCATACCACAACCGGCATTCGTTCGGTTCACCGTAGACAGAGTCTCACATTCCACCGCAATCACCGCCTACTTCTAGCGCTCGTCATGTAGGGTGATAATAGCAGACTACTCCCCGACTTCTGAGAATGGAAGTATCAGAATTGTCGCGCTGTAATACCTGGTCTATAGTAGATACAAAGATGCCACGATAATTGTTTTGGGCAATCCCCAAAACACTGAGTCCTCACATGAATCGACCGAGTAGGTTTCACTTCCACGGTTGATGTCAAACCGATCCGGTTTGTGGAAATCCAACAGTGCACAGAGCGTAAGGAATTGTCACTACCAGTGTCACCCGGACCGGTGTGCCAACACACTGCGTTTTCAATTGTACGGTGCGAAATTTTCTCAAGTTCATGCGGGGCTCTACTCACGATGAATGACATTTATTTTAATTAACAATCATTAATTAACAATTTTCATCGTTTGCCAACCAGTTCGTAACATTTCCATCCTATAACAAAGTGTGACCATATCCAAACATCTATCGACTGTTTTTGAGCAAAAGCTAGATTTTCCTGGTTTTTCAAAGCTATGCATATGCATATACCTGCTGCTAACTATTTGATATTTATTTGATCGCGAAATAATTTTGTGTTCATGTAAACTGAAAATGTTTTGGAGTTCCTATGCCGAATCCAGCTTTGAACTTTTCTCGATGTTTGTTAGTAGTATTTATTTATTCGTTTGTACACCATGATCTCATTATGATAACTTCGTCTACAGACAACACAATTTTGAAGAGAAGATAACTTCGTCTACAGACAACACAATTTTGAAGAGAACATTGATTATCGAATCGGACAATCCAAATGCCTGTCTCCATTAGTTCACTTCTGGTGGTTCTTGTGAACTGACGACCGGCATCTGAAAGGAGGATTTATGGGAGGGAAAATGGAATCCTGAAAGTACAATTTCTGTCACAGTTTCCAATTTATACCTATAAAATGACTTACTGTTTTCATACGACTGTGGTCTCTCAATTGAAGCGTTATCTTCAGGAAGCACGAATTCATGAGGCTAGTAAAACTACGGTGCGCGGAGAGAGCGATTTCATAATCAATATTTTGCAGTATTTATGGAAATGAACTAAAAGCATTCACGAATATCAATGAAATACCCGAATCAGATTTAGGCTTTGTATCTTCTATCTTTCCCGGAAATAGACAAGCGAATTAGAGCATTTGTTAGAACGCAGCATGTAGACAAGTATAAGTATCTGTAACCCCGAAATAATGCCATTGGATAAAACTTAAACAGTTGAAAGACCCAATCGTTTGGTAACACAAATTCACGTGCCATCATTCAACTGTCACCTAGAAACAAATAGGTTATCTATCGAAGCATATGAACTTGATTTGAAAGCTTCCTTATAACCGTATTTGTATTCCATTAACAGAAAGTACTTTGGAAAAGCGTGTGTTGACGTTTATCCGAATAATTTTCTTCAAGTTTCAATGAGAAGCACTACGAGTTATTATTGGAGTTCAAAGAGTATTCCCTAATTGCACCTGCAAAACAGTTTCACTAATCAACGCGAAACGCAATCTCTATCTCCAGCTACGAGGAGACTGCGGAGTGAGTTGTCTCAATTTAGGTTTTACTGATTCCTTGTTGGTATCAAACGAAAGTAGGAAATTTTCTGACAAAATATATTCAGATTAAGGTGAATTAGGAAGTTTGTGCATAGAGAAAACAAAATAGGTCCAAATAAATATTCAATGTTAAGAGTGTTAACATGGTTGCGTTATGTCTGCAAAGTCCCAGTTTCAGTTCGATCACTAGATTCCACACGGCTGATGAAACCGAACCAGACAGTAAACGTTGTACAGTCATTCACATCATTACAATCCACTTTCGCATTGTTCAAAATACAGTGAAATTCCTCTTGCATGGCAATCCTGTATGCAACCTGTCTAATGCAGCAAATCGCTCTCACATAAGCACTATCGTCGAATTAATAAACAAACATTGATAGAATCTAATGCAATGTTACAAAATACTGTGCTTCTTTCTCTATCAAACATTTTCTCTCTCTCTCGACAATTTAGAGCGTTACATATGCTTTGATAAGTTTTGTTTCATTTTCACGTGATATGCTGAACGGGTTGAGTTGCATTCTGATTCAATCTGTAGGAAGTGTGATCTGTGCAAATTAAGTGAAATATCAATGGGACAATTTAACTCAGAATTAAACAATTCCGTGAATAGCGAGACACTTGTGTGCACAATGTTTAGCAAAACTAATCATCCGATTTCAGATGGCAACATACCGTATCTTTAAGTGCAATGCAATTTGAAAACCGATTCCACGGTAGTTCCTTTCACAATTTAAAATCCACATTCACCTCGAAGCGCGTGCAATGAAATGCATCCGTTGCAGTCAGAGTGACTAGAAATATTCTCACCCATTCACCACGGTTTGCATAAGTGCAGCAGAACGAAGGAGACGTCAGTTCTGGAACACTCTGTCGGCGCTCCTATGCATTGGTACCATATGATGATATTTTTTCAGTCTGTCCACTACCTGAATTTGCCAATTTGATCAGCACGGCAATAATACGAATGGAGATTGTACTGAACGCTGCTATTTGTGGGCTACTCAACGCATGTTTTCTCGGCGGAATTGAGGATAACATCTCTGTAGTGCATGTCGGGTTGTCCGGAATATGAATCTCGGAGAGCGATGCTGACTTGAGGCCGAAGCATCTTCAACCTATTCTCAAACTTAAAATGGGTGTGAAGCTGGACTCGCTTATGCACCCTCCTATATCATTCCATCATTTCAGGTTTTCATCTCAAATGATTCTGATCTTAATCT